TTTATATATGGTTACCTATTTCAGGAGTTGATGTTGAACGTAGTTTTTCTAATTATAAAAGAATTTTAGATGATAGATATAGATCACTTTCAGAAAATTCTATTGAAATGTTAAATTTTTTATATTATAATAACCATAAAATAATAAAGTATATTTTTACTATATAAAAAATTTTATTTGCATATTTTGCATTTTTGATAATATTAAAATGCACATTTTTTATTTTTGCATTGCACGAAACTGTGAGCTCTAATTGGTAACAGTTTTTTACAAAGAAAAAAATTTTTTGATGCAAAATATTCTAGATAGGTGAAAATTTATTACAGATATAGTTAATCAGAAAATGATAGAGGTAGCAAAAGAAATGTATGATGCTATCAAAGAGGGAGAGGGTACACAGATTCTAGGCCATTTAATGTGAGTCCAGCATTAAGTTATTTCTTTGCTCTCGAATAATTTCTATAATTAATTGTTTTATTTCTATCTATATTGCTAACTACGAGATTCTTACCCTCATCTATACTAGATTTCTGAAATAAATTACCCCACCCATATCTACAGAATTTTTGTCTATCTATAATACTATCATCCATACAGACTATGTAAAAGATCATTTCCCACAAGAGAACTTTTCCAAAATAAAGTAATTTCGAACCTACAGTATAAATTCGGAAGATTAGCAATTGAGAAAAAAATAAGCAATATTTCCGATCACACTTACCACCACGATTCATTTTCAGAACATTCCAGTCCGTCTCATATACAAGAAATTTATTGCTTAATTTTTTTTGCGTTATCGACGGTATGATACTGCGCAAAGTTTCAAGAATTTGACATGTGAAAATGCTAATATACTATGCCAGACTTTTGCTGTGCCATTGCATATGACGAAATTCATGTGAATAAGTTCACTGCGCCTATTATACGTATGATGATTGTCAAAGATTTTCTTGGCAAAGATCAAATGCCGATATATAACAAGAAGAATAATATGTCTGTTTTATTTTGGAATATCTAATAGAAGCAGAAATCAATTAGCATTGTGATGACATGTTTCAAGAAGCTAGTCGAGCAATAAAATTAACATACTGTACCTTATTAATGCTTTGCGAAATATACTCGTTTGATTGATTGATGATATTGTCGATATTAATAATGATAGATTTAAAATTTTATTAGATTTTTCATTTGATTTTTTGCTTATATTTGCACAAGGCAGATAAAAGGGTTCACTAACTGTCTCAATTTCTTTTTATATGACTTGTAATGAGTTTAAGGTTTGATTTTCAGAATAAATCTTTGGGAAAATTATGTTATTATGATTTATCACAAAAATCAGATCAACAGATGCTTCCTAAAATTATAATATACATAGGGATCATGTTCTTGGATTAACAAGGAGGACTTTTTATTATTAATACATGCAAAAGCTTGAGTATATGCAGGAAGTTTCGAGAATAAATTATATAGTGTAATGTACGCATTTATAGGATCTGGATCCTCAGATGAAAAACTGAGAAATATTAGCATATAAACACAATCCTACACTAGATATTGACATGTAAATATATTGTGCTTAATGTGTTTTAGCTTTATTAATTATAATTAAAAAAATACATATTTTGTTCATATTGTAGAATAATATCTTAATATCTTTTGCTATTAATCTGTCATCACATGATTACGATCATGAACTTGAATTTATTGCTTGAAGAGTTACAGCTAAGATAATATTTTAACTTATCTTGAGATAATAACTTTGCTAATTTAGAAGTTGATTCCCATTTCTACAGTACCATGAGCCATGTAATCCATAATTCCTATGTTTTCCATCACAAATAGGGCATGGCGAGTTCCACGGCTGAGGTGATGCAAAATTATAATTATTAATCCCTCTAAAACTATTTCAGAATTTCAAGTATGGGAAGTGCTCTAAGACAGATTTGATAATTAACTCTGAATCAGGTTTCACTTTGAAGATAATAGATCCTTTTTCTTCACATTGCTCAGAAGAAGATAAATAGGATACTTTGTTTTCTGGCTTCGAATTTATGAGAAGACCAGCTTCTGATGCATGCACTTTTGATAATTGCCATGGCTTATGCCCAGTTTCTTTTTTATATTTTTTGTATAAGCTGGACTAAATCTTATCTGTCAAAACGCTTGATAACCCACTTAATTTGGCATGCTAATCCAGATATTTGGGAGTTAATATTTTATCAGACTTGGTTATGTTGCCTTTTATATGAATTAATTTAAATTTAATTAGGTAGTAGTTGACCTGTAAAAAAATGGTTTTCCAAAGGAAACGTAAATGTAGTATTATAAAATAATGAGACTATGCAGTTATCTCAATTTCATGCTGTTCACATTTAATAAAATAGAATCCAGTTTTATATCTACCTTCTATGCTTTCTTTATCATCATGACCTAACTTGCATAATGGGCATAATATTTTGTTAGTAATTCCATAATAATCGAAATTTTTGCTACTAAATTCTCTATATAAATTAGAATAATGATCCAATATCTTGTTGAGAAAATAGGCACAATCATAAGTTAGCTTAAATTGAGCTCGTTCATTAGTCTGATTGGTTTGTAGAGTGCTTATCCCGACATCTGGTGATTTTTTCAATTCAGATTCAGCTAACAGATCACGTACGCGTGAACAATTATTCACGCTGATCAATTTTTGAGATTTGGTTAGTTCATCAGTATAAATATTTATTATATTCTGGATTTGTGCATCAGTTAGTCTAGAGATTGCATCAGTGCTAGATGTAACCACTCCAATTTTATCTATTCCTATTCCTTTAAACAAGGTATAGATGTTTTTAGCCTTTTATGTCATCTTACGCAAATACTCTCTCTTTTTACCAGGAAGATACAGCTCCATTTCATCATAAATCTGCGTTCTTGCTATTTGATCACTAATATTATTTTTAGAGCTAAGGGTTATAACCTTTTTTTCATATTCCTCACTATAGTAATACTATCGTAATTTTTCTTTCTAATCAGTCTTTTCAGCCTTGTCAAATAAATAAGCTAAATGAAGTACAGAACCTAGAGTTAGGTCAGCATCAATTGGAATATCTGAAATATGTTTGCTAGATATAGAATTTGGTAAGGATGTGAAATTATAACATCTAATAAATTCAAGTAATTTGCATATTAAATCTTATTCTACTTTCTGATTATAGGGAATTTTTTGGGGCGAAGTGTCCTGCTTGTTTCCAGAAGACTCATAGGATATCGCTAACTCTGCAGATAATTCCTTTGAAATCAATTCTTTAACAACCTGTTTTAGGAGAGTTATAAGTTCAGTGCTAGTCATAGAGAGTTCTGTTATACAACTGGTATTAATTGCTAGGGATGATTCCTGAACAATCAATTCACCCTGAAGCTTTTTTTCCCGCTTCCTTTGCCTAATATTATTACTAACATTTTTTTATACCCCTATCCAAGAAAGTATCCATTTTCCTATCCTCTAACGATTTCCCTTGATGGTTCATTTTAATGGTCACCTTTTTGATCTGTGAGAGTTTACACTGTTTGGGTTGAACTATAACTGAATCAGATATATTGGCAGGTTCTTTAGGAATAAAATCACTTATTTCCTTATCTTTTATTAACTTGGTGTTGACATCATTTTGCTGGTCTATTAAGAAGTTAGATGTATTAACAGCTGATACCTCTGCTATCACTTCCTTATCATTCTGTGGTTGTCCATTTACTTCAGTAATTTCCTGTTTCAATATTGCGAGTCTGGTCTCAAGCTCCCTGACTCTAGACTTGAGTTCAGTATTCTCAGCATCACGCTTGACATCTTTCTCTATAACCTGCTTTAGAAGTTCAGCTTTTCAGCCTCAAGCTTGACGTTCTTAACTTCAAGCTCGCTAATGCGCTGTCTTAATAATTCAAGCTCTGATGACATGATCTATATATAACTAATACACTGCATATGAATATTTAAAATAAAAAAAAATCACGTGCGCATTACAATTTATAACACTGATCATTTTTGTCAAGAAAAATTTTTTATTATTACATGCGAAAAAATAAATACAAGATTGAGACTGCCCTATGATACATATTATTTTTTAATAAACTTTTTGATCCTAGCCTTCTTGCTAGCCAGAAAACTATCTATACTAATACAATCCTTCAGCAACCAAACAATAATACTAATTATCTTTTTTATATTGCTTCGTAATAATTTAGAATTATCTTTAATCGCAGACTTCGTAAGATTAATCTGATGCTTGCTACCGCTTGTGAAAAAGATGCTATCCAGAGTATATATGATAAAATGCCACTCTGTACCTGTGGTCACAATACCATAGATATAATCAAAATAGTCATTCCCAAACGCTTGTTCTGCAGTTTATTTCTTTTTATTTGTCTGAAATGCGCTTTTAAGTTGTGCTAGATTCTAAGAGATAAACCATCATTAATATTTCTAATATGTTAGAAAGCGAAAATGTGAATAGTAGGCCTATCTGCGCATATCTAATCTTAATATTACGTGGTTTTCCTTCAGCAACACATAGAAGGTCTTCCAAACTTTTGATCATGTAGTCTACTCAGCCAGTAGCATCTTCACCAGAAATGTCTTTCTGCAAAACTATAAATATATCTTGAGAGGTGAATTTTTTGGCGATAGCAATTGACGTATGTAATATAGCTGAAATAAATTCACAGTGTGTTGCCTTATTAGCATCGGTCATGGTTTTCACATTCGAAAGTTTTAAGATAATGTCCTCCATACAGTGTTCGAATGCCTTATCATCATCACTAATTTCCTCAAAGACTGCAGAGAAAAAAATAAGGTTAATATACATATCTAGTCAGTTTCGAAAATTAGTTAATTACTTACCAGGAGTAAACTGCTTGATATTTATTATATCTTCCCCATTGACTTTATTTCTACGCAATATTTTCTTTAAGTCGTCGAAAGTTTTAAACGAGGAATAATTTCATAGCTTCTGACTAAGGCCTTCGATAAATTTTGCAAGTGTTGTTGCAGGACCAGCCTTCAAGCTATACTTCAAAACTCCTCTTTAGTTGTGTCAAGGAAGGCAAGACCAGATATTTTCTCTTTACGAAAAATTTTAATATCATCCTCATCGAGTTTCAAGTCCTTTCTTCTCAAATAATCGATAAGCTCATCTGTATTAAAATCCTTAATCACGTCTGACATTGTTTGAAAAGAAATTTCTTCCGTTATTGAGACAGGTGAAGCAGGTAAAGAAGCTTGTGAAGACATAATTTTTATATATGTGTGTTTTTTGCTTGCAAAAAAATATGTACTTGACTGCAGTTACAGGTAAAGCTGGTTTATAGATATAAAAGTATTTTTGGTTTCTGGTATAAAGCGCTCAAGTAGAAATGATAGATTTTTTGTATCGATTTATAATTTATTTGCTCAATATATATGCAATTAATACATAGTACAGGATTATCAGGCGATTATGTTACATCATTACATGTGACATTTATCAAGTTTCACAACAGGACGTAATATATGCTTTATTTCTTAAATAAAAAACATTGCCAGAACAACAGATACATGAAAATAAATTCTTGAAAAAGGTTATATAATGCAGATATAATAATTCCTAATATGGACCTAACAATTCAACACTATATTCTCCTCTATGTAATCTTTTAATCTCACTTAGCATATTACTGATAATTCTATTATTCTCTTTCAATATTTTTTGGTAGTTATCACATAATTTATTGAATTCAGAGGCGGTTATAACTTCAATAGACGTAGAGTGTTCTTCTGCTTAAAAAAAAATAAGGAATAAATTATAGTATAACAGAAGCTTGACTTTACTCAAGAGACATATATTATCACAGTAACTTATCTTGTTTTTCTTTGAGTTCTTCTACTAACTCAATATCGGTTGCGTTTTCAAACTTAATTTTGAATGGACCATTTTCATTAGTAAGCATTTGTATGGTTAATCTGAGAAAAGCTTTTCCACCAATATTCTGTTTTTCGATTTTTTCAATGTCATCTTCATTATAACTTGAATTATTCATATGTCTCTTAAGATGTTTTTTAATGTGAGCGGAGTCCAATATTTAACATTGGGAAGTTTGTCAGACATCATTAAAAGACCCATTTTTTAAACAGCGTATATTATACTTATATATAAAATTATAAATGCAACATCAATCATGAAAAATACAATGTAAACTCAATGCAAAATCAGGGATCTAACCTTTTGAGATTAGCAATTGCTTATTTAGTACAGGAAAAAAATAAAAGCTATAAATTGTTCATATCGATCTGAGGATACTCTGAGTATATATATCAAGAAAACTTTTCTTACTGCATATATTCTTCAATGTGTAGTTACATCTATATCACACAGGTATTGCATTAGTCAGCATCATTTCACATGGTATTTTTCAAGATTTATGAAAAGAATGTAATATATGCTTTATTTAAGAAATAAAAAAACATTGCTAAAACTTGGCCTACAATACATAAAAATTGCAAATATATTGCTTTACATGACACAAATATAGATAAAAAATTTCTAACTGGTTGGGGAATCACTTAATTTTGAACCAGATCCTTTCACATGGTAAATTGCTAATCCTTCTTTTCGATTATCTTGATTTTATAAAATAAGACTATTAGAATAATGAGAACTCCATCAATAAAATACAACCATAATGCTATGCAAAGCGCTTTTGTATAATTACTCATATAGATCTTTAATATAATCCTCAAGTTCTAATGCTTGTCTTAATGTCATTCTGTATTCCTTAAATTCCCATCTGGTTAGCTTGAGAAATAAATGATCGGTAATTTGTTCATCATGAAGTTTCGTAAAAAAATTATTGTTAAGTTTTAAGCATTCAAAATTAGAATTGCTTTGCAAAAAGCTAATAAGTCTTTTAGTTTCCCATCCTTTTATCATATCAGCCATGGAAGACATCTTGCTTTCCTAAATACAAGAATCTGTTGTGAAAAAAACTTGCTTCATACATACAGTACATAACTTCTAGCACATATAAACCTTATTTTGCGAGAAAGTTAGCTGAACTTTCACACTCCTACATGTTTTATATCTTGCTGGAAAAAAGTTAAAGAGATATGAGATGCGATTAGCATTGTTGTATAATGCCAAAAGCTTCATGAAAGCATATATAAATGGAATCCTCATACTTTTTCACATGTAAATCTACCGGAGAGATACAAAGGTAGTTAGTTCTTGTAGATCTCAAAATTACAAAGTCCTCAGCCCTTCATAACATATGCTTTTGACGTTAATATTTACTTTTACAGTAGGTCCTGTATTGCAACTAGACCTCTTTTCACATTTTCTCACATTTGTTTGGAAAAAAAATAATGAACAAAAGATAATATGTTTTCTTTTTCAAATATATATGCAAAAATTAATATGTCATATAAGATTCTGATTGATGATCCACTTATTTTTTGTTGCACAGAAGTATATGCATGTGGCTCAGCAAAAAAAATCTGATCAACAATCACCACTCTGGACTATTGTTCTAGCCAACTCTGGATCAGAATACCACTACAAATTATCTCGCATACTTAGATCTAAGAGGCTCTGAAGACTCTAAGCTAAAATCTGTCTACTAGCAACATTGTTCTATGTAAGATGATTTCTAACTATTCCAATGAGATCAGGAGGCGTTAAAGTTTCCACAAAATCCTCTATGTGGATATCTAGATTTAGCTGATTCATAGCTTTTTTGCTAATATTATAATACCTCTTTAGATTAAGAAATTTTAAATTAAGATATAATCTAGCAATTTCTTTAATAGTTATATCAGTAATTTTATAAAAGCTAAGGTTAAGTTGCCAGAGCCTTAGGCAAGAACAAATAATATTATAAATTGATATTTCAGAAAATTCTGTGTGTTTAGAAATATTTAGACATTCTAATTTATGATATAAATTTGCAATTGCAGTTAGACCTATATCATTTTTTGGCTGAAATCCCTCGCCTAAATTAGATATATTGAGATACTCTAAATTTGGGTATGATTTCACTAATAGCTTTAGAACTTTACCTGTACAGTCTGTACTTCCTTCAAAATCTAAATGAATTATATTCAGGAATGTGTATATAATACTTTTGATTTTTTTATTTGAAAGTGAAGAGTAGTGTGTTATTTTAAGATGAATTAGTTTCGGGTTATAAACTGGTTTTCTTTCTCCTCCAGGTACTATTTTTAAAAATCTTTCTAATCAAAATTTATCATCTACTTCATTTTTCTTTAGCTTAATACGTTTTCATAGAATAGGAGCACCACATCTATATCACAGTCAACCAACAAATAGAGTAGGATAGAGGAATTTATCTATTAATAAGAAATATAAAATCTGTTCTAATAATTCTGGTAAATAAAAAATGCTTGTTTGCGCCATAAATAATATATGCTGTATCTTTAACAAAAATAAAATTTCATGATCATGCAAAGCGTCTCTCAGACTACTCCAGCCTCTCCAGTATCTCATCTAATGCAAGTGCTTGTAAACTATTTATTAAAACTTTAATCTTATTTTCAGGTGATAATCCTTTTAATAATGCGCATTTAAGGAATTTTTCACTATATCCGAAACTCTTGTTACACTCTTTCAGCTTTGAATAAAAATCCTTAACTGTATTTTCACCTTGAATCAATGACATAATACGAAAATTGAAAAGAGTCTTTCTTTTAGTCCATTCAAGATCTGTCTCCTTTGCCTACATATCATTTATACTGCGAGAATTTTTTAGTTCTTGAAATGAAAGATCCTTTAGAATAAATGGTATTAACTCTGGCAGAAGTTGTTCTAGTAAATTATCTTTTTGCATTTTTTATATGGTTAGAAGATATTTTAATCAAAAAAATCTTTCTAGCAAACAATTACTACTCTAGGCTATTGTTGGGTTAATTTACTTCTTTGAATGGGATCGCAAAATTATCATTTAATAATAGTTTTGAATTGCATATATCCAAAGTTATACCATTTTCTTGAAACTAAGGTCCTCCTAAAATTAAATCAGGTCTCAGCCAATCCAGTCCAAGAACTATGAATTTAACAGGTGTACTTTTATGCTTTTCACTATTTTCAAAACCAATACGCAGATTGACCTTTCCTAATGTGAAATAAGATGCATCTGGAGTTACAATGCTATTGCTTTCACTATGATATATAATTTCTAATTCACCAATATGTTTTTGGCTAATGCAATTTATATCAGCGCACATTTCAATTGATGTCTCAATAGGATTATTTTCTTCGACTACACAATTTACGAATACTATTTTATTATGACATATATAATATTCAAATATAAAATTAAACTACCAACTATTTAACCTTTTTTGGTCGTATCTTCCTTTATTGCTTATGAAGGATAGCCTCATTTTCTCTTATCACAATTGTCTTGACCGAATCAAATTCTTCAGAAGACTCAGACAAATAGGAGAAACCCTTATGCACAGCACCTTTCAGCCTTTTTTTTAGCAATTATCGAGGAAACTATTTCTTGTATTAAGTCGACTACAGTTTTCCTATTTATATATTCATCCAGATTTTCTAATTCAGTATCTAAGGACTTTACGTCTCTCTCTAATCTTTTTTACTCTCTTTTTTAAAATGTTGTGTTGGGAATGATAATCTTCTAATTATTTCTTTAATGCCCTATTTTCGCCAGAAAGCGCACTATACACTTCTGCATTTTGCTCATTTAGTCCAAATATCTGGGCTAATTTCTTCATATATCTGATAACTTCCTGTTCGCTAGATATATCAGATGAATGATTTTAATCGGTTACCATTTTTGCGATATTTTATATATGCTAGATCTTGCCTCGAGCAAAAAAATAAAATTCCTTTTTCGTATCTTTGGTACTTCAAAGACAAGTATACAAATATATAAAGAAGCACTAAAGGGTATTAGTTTTTATCGAAGAGTTCACGTAGCTGTCGACGCTCTTTTTGAACTTTATTAGATCTTTGAATAAGGTCTGGATCTTTGATATAAATATTAATAATTTCAGGATCCACTTCGATTTTTGCTAATTCCTTACAAAATCAGAATTAGCGTGAGGCGCCTGCTATAACTTCTTTTTTATTATTATTTTTCAGTCTTAAGTCTATGCTATGGCGGTGAATATTTCACTTATTACCGCCTTTAGTGCAATATTCCACCCTTTTCTCTATAGTTAGTTTTTCCTTTCTCTTATAGATAGAAGAGCCTCTTTCTTCTCTTTATTATATTTATACCTAGTTAGAAGATCTTTAACACATTTTTGAGCATTCCAATCCTGTAGTGATGCACTAAGCTCTTTATTATGTTCACTTAGTTATTCTGGAATGGACTTAGCAGATAAGTCATATTTTTTTAAGAACTGTTTTAGAATCGATTTAAAGTTATTTATTTTAGGTCTCCTTCGGGTCTTTAGGATTACTTTTGTGATATCCATGATAATAATAAATAGATTGATACAATGCCTTACAGTCGATTATTATACCTACAGCAAAAATATTTCTCAGAGTATAGCCAAAAAATTAAACCACCCTCATGCATTTATTTCATCAGAATAATTATTTATTGTTAAACATGAATTAGAACATAGCAGTTTCTTTAGAAGCCAGCTAATATCGAATCAATTTTTGCTATTTTTGCCCTAAATGGATCATAATCATTATTTTTAAGCTGGAGTGATGAAATCTGTATTTCTGATACTGGACTAATTCCTTTGGAATCACTTAACCCAGATTCAGGACTGGAGTCCCCTGATTCTGACTCTGTTTTGTAATCAGTTTTAGATTCTGATTCTGATTCTGTATCGCTCATAGCATAATTGTCTTCTGCATCAAGGCGGTCTGATTGTTGTCTCAGTACGATTTTTGAAAGACTTTTAAGATGCTCAGGAGTTGATTTCTTACCACCATAGATTTTGGATGCATGCCTTTTTCCTATTTTTCTTAATTTTTCAGGTATAGTTCTATAAGGCTCTTACTTTAAGAATTCGTTAAATGGCCAAGCATTTCGTGTTTCAC